GGAGAAAAAATAACTACTTCAGTCTCTATAGTCTATATAGTTCCTTTCCATGCAATTGCCTCTCTCTCTCTCTCTCTCTCTCTCTCTCTCTCTCGTTTTTTACAGTTCATCTTCTTGGCTTCCCTCCAGAGGTCTGTGCAGCAGGCAAAAACCTGGCAGTGTGGGAGGAGACACCACAGAAGCCCAGAAGCCACAAAGAGAATTACCAGGTGGTTTGTTCATCTCCACACAGACAAGAAAGGACCTGCAGAGCGCTGTTACCTGGAGGACCCTGCCTACATGTCTTATACACCTGAGTGACTTAACACATTGCTGCCCCATATGTCAATTTATTAGATTCTCACGATAGTCAAGCTTTAGGAAGAAAAAGGACACCCAATCAAAATGTGGTGTATCCTTAACTTTATGGGACCACCCTCCTCTTTTGGGTCTTGTGAGCCTGTCCTCCCCACTTCTTTTTCCTCTCCAACAGTTCTAGCTCAAATAGTTCCTACTTCTAACCAGACATGACGTGGGCTCCCTTCCTTTTCCTCTCCACACTCTCTTCCTTGCCAGTGTCAGTCAGCTTCCTTGCATCACCTCCGCTTCTAACCAGTCCCTGTTTTCCAGCTGCACTCCCGGCATCATCACATCACTATCATCATCCTATTAATATATATTTTATGAATACGTAATTGCCAGGCAATAAACAAAACCTTTTATAGGCACTGTCTCATCTTAATCCTTACAGTGAGGTATCAGCCTATAGGTAGGGAACTGAGACTTAAAGAGGCTAAATAACTAAGGTGCCCAAGATCACACAGTGAAGTGCAAAGTACAGATGGAACCCCAAGTCTTCCTAACTCCCAAGCCAACATTCTTGACTAGAACAATCTGGTTGTGTCACCAGGACCTTAAACTTAATATATCCCACACTGAATTCACCTTTATCCCTTCCCCCTTTGCTCTCCTCAAATATCCTTATGTATAATAATGTTACCATTATCTTTCCTAACACAGAAACTCAAAACCTAGCATCATCTTTGACTTCTCTCTTTAGCCCCCACATTAAATCAATTTTTTAAGACTTAAAGCCTTTACCTATCAGGTCTCTACCATCCCTCCTCTGCATTCCCACACCTGCTTCCCTAGTTCAAGTCCTCCTTACTCCTCTCCTAAACTGTTGCCTTAATATTGCAAGTTCTGGCTCAGAAAATATAATCACATTTACAGTAGCCCTTCTCAAGAAAGCAAGCCAAGGCAACAGGATACACAACGAAGCTAGTCTTCACTAATCTCTCCATATTGTGACCTCTCATAAACTTATTGTCTCTAGTTTGCATTTTGGAGCTTAATCTAAATAGTCTTGCATTGTTATTTAACAGTCATATATGTAAATCTTTATCTGCTTCAAGGAAGCAGAAAAGAGCACTAACCAGTGTGCCTTTGGTACCAAACAGCGGGAGCCTATGGAGTCTTCTCTCTAGAGCACAGTCATAGGGACTCAGCAGTGCCCAGTCTCTCTTTCAGTTATGAATTTTAAACTCCCAGAAAAGAGCCATGAGTGGCCTGGCTTGGGCCCCGTGTCCATCCCTCAATCAATTAGCTTGGCTAAGCAGCAGATCAAACTTCTTTAAACATGGCAACTGGAACCTCTCCTGTATATGCTTGTTCCAAGAAAAGAAGCAGGCACACACCACACCATCCATTAGTTTGTTTGTTCCTGCATTCCATCAACAGATAGTTGAGCACCTATCAAAATGTATCAGGTTATTTCATGTATAAAAAATGTTTACTACCCTGCCCTCATACCATGAAAGTCACAATATAAAATAAATCACCAGATCAAAAGCATCACAACATCCATCAGAGAGCATCGATTCAATTATACATGATGAAAGATAATTCACCACACCCTGTATAAACCTCTGGTGGTTAAAGTAATCAGCAGTAATATATACATGGACAACCAAACAAGTTCACGGCAGCACCTTTAGGACTAGACAAAAACAGAAAACTACCCAACAGTCCATCAGTGGTAGATGAGATAAAGCATAGTATATTCACACAACAGAATGCTTTACGGCAATGAGAATGAATGCTTCACAAATATATATGACAATATTGATCAATCTTACAAACGATGTTAAGCAAAAGAAGCCAGACACAAAAAAGTATCTAGGCCATGATTCCATAAAGTACAAAAAGAGGCAAAACTAATCTATCCTTAAGGAGTAGTGACTAGTGGGGGGCAAAAAGAACCACGTGGATGCTAGTGATTCTGTCTCTTGAGCAGGGGTGCTGGTTACACAGGTGTGTTCAGTTTGTCAAAATTCATCAAACTGGGGGCCGGCCGAGTGGCGCGATGGTTAAGAACTGGCTTGGGATGCCAGAGGGGCCCGGTTCGGATCCCACATATGAGGGCCAGTGACACTGCCCTCTACAGCTAAGATGCTGAACAACAGCTCAACCTGGAGCTGGGCTGCCGTGAATCCCCGGCAATGGCATAGGCTGCAGCCCCTGCTGCAGTGGGTTGCCATGGGCTACCATATGTAGCCAGCAGCCAGCAGCCAATGTGAGCTGCTAGCAGCCGCAGTGAGCGGCCGTCCAGAAGCCAGAGACTGATCTGCCTCACCCAGGAAGAGCGCAATGATGGTGCCAACTTGGGCCAGTGAATCAACGTCCTCCACAACTAGACTGAAAACCAAAATGACAGCAACTTGTCTGTTCCCCTTCCCCAATTCCCCAATTAAAAAAAAAATTTCATCAAACTGTACACTTTACCATATGTGTCGTTTTCTATAGGTATATTACTTTTCAATAAAAAGGTTTTTAAAATAAGTCATTAATGGTCAAAGCAAGAAGCTTTTAATCACCCTTGAACATTGTCACTATGATTATCCTAGAGTTGCCAATTCTTGCTGTCCCCAACCCCACCATTACACCTTCTTAGAGACCCTAAGCCACCATCTGCCTTTAGAAAGGACCACCCTTCTTAGCACATGGCCTCATCCTGTCCAGCCCCAGCTGATTGGACTTGCTTGCACCTGGAAACTTGGAAGCTGGACACTATGAAGCTGAGCTGGGTGAAGGAGAGTAGTTCATCTAACAAGTTATATAGATTTGAGGGAAAGAATTTCCGGACACATGCACAGGGATAAGCCAAGACAGTCTGCAAAAAATAGAGCCAATACACAGAAGGAAGCAATCAAATGCGTGGGAGCTGGAGGGAGGGGCCTCCAAGGCTGCTCACTTTTTA